CAACCCCGGCAGCCCCCCAGCTGCTCTATTGCAGGCATCCCTGATTCAGCTGCTGCTGAAACTGACCAGCAGAGGCTGAATCAGGGACTCCTGGGGCAGAGCCTGACTATCGTAAGGGGGGGCTATGAGGGGTCTGGGGTGGCATCCCCTCCCACCCCACTCCAGACCCCTCATAGCCCCCCCTTCTGATAGTCCGGCATATCTGATAATCCGGCACCCCCTGGGTCCTAAAGGTGCCAGATTATCGGAAGTTTACTGTACTTGTTTCCAATTTTGGTAAAGCAGGCTACGCTAAACCATTTAATAAAAACCATAAAGAGAGGTTACTTCACAAAATCATACAATTACTATTTCCAAGGTGATAAACACTAAATACAATTATTCAGAAGTGACCATTAGCGCTGGAGATTTTCATTTCAGGCAATCAAAATTAATGTACTTTTTGTATAGTGATTGAGATTACAGGCTATTGTGCATGCAGTAATTTGGACCCAATCCTGCATTACTAATGTAAATCCCTTTAATGTCAATAGGAGATGCACAGATTTAAAGACTGCAGGATTGGGACCTTCTATACAGTGTAAATTCATTTTTTTCTTTTACTACCCAAGACAATTTCATTTTATAATTAAAAACAGCAGCCACCGTTATGAAACATTTTCCACTCTCTGAAAGCCTGGGTTGTAAGATATTTTAAGATTTCAAAATATATGTAAGCTTATAAAATTTATTCATGTAATATTTAGATATGTTTAGATATAAAAGGTATTTTGATTTCACTACAAGCTTCAACAAGTATATACTATTAAAACTGGACAATATATATGATTTGGAATCTACATGGGCACAATTTAAAACAAATGTAAAAGTGAAAAATACTATAATACAAAAACAATTTAAAGCTTTAAATGAGACAAATGTATTAAATTTAAACCAACCCAAAAATAGTACCATATTCAGAAAGTCAGCTTCAGAGTGTAAAAGGGAAAAAGGAGAATAAGGGATATAGGACAAATCAGGAAATCTGGATTTACTGAGGTACAACAAATAGATGGTTTCTATAATAGGGCAAACGATCTTTACTATCTTTCCATGGCAAATCCTTAAAATACAAAAATTCAACTAAAATCACCTGTCATAATTGAAATTTCACATGTAGTAAAGGCAAGGTAATATTCAGTTATGTCCTGTCAAATATTTGCCTCACTGACATTATCTACAGAAGAGTTGGCTATCTTTTACACAGTGACTCCTTATATAGTTTGAAAGAGTTTCAGTACAAAATGACACAACATACAGATCTGTACACAAATCCAACAGAACGTTTTTCTGTCTCCCAAAGAAGTTATCTTAAAGCAAGATACCTGAGATTTCACAATATCTTCAGTGTCCTTATCACAATCGTAAATATACATTTCAGATTTTAAAAAAAGACTACACCCTTGAACATGTGCATTATGGTTAAAAAAAACCTATAGCTTTAAGGAGCTGAAGAAAACACCCCATTTGAGAGACTTCATTTTTGCTGTTGCACATTCAGGAACGCCCTTTCACTGAAGAGCACTCTATTTATTGAGCAGCAGACCAACATTAGAGGGCACTTTTTTAATGCAAACACCACATGGCTCCTGTAAACTTTGAAAAATTCAGTAACAATACTTCACTTGGATGAAGTACTTCCTCCAGTCAATGAATACCTGAAGAGGAAAATAAATGGTTATTTTTGTCACTTTCAAAATAATTATATAACAAACAATGGTTAAAAATCATTAAATGGTGCTGTAAATAGAAACTTAAAGCTTTGTTCTTCTCAAGATCATACTTACCACAACTACTCTATTCAACAGAAATTACAACAACCAACTCTCAACTGTCTTTTAATGGGCACCCAATCATTTTCTTTTAAATCTCCTAATTTGGAGAACTTGGTATCTCAGCCACCTCAAAATGTTGTGGGGCAGGCAACAATTTTTGAACTAGATCTCCTCTTCCACCAAAAGAAAATACAGTTTTTCCATTCCAAAAGTAGAAGGGGGAGAGAAGGAGTTGAATGCATTAAATGTCACAGAATTTCAAAGAATATTAGAGACAAGAATATGCTCTAATCACTATATCAGAACACATGCTTAAGAATTTCTACTGTCTCTTGGTGGTCATCAAAGCTTGCTAGTGCTAGGTACTATACTTTATAACATTTTGTAAATGGCAAGAATTATTGAAATTTGCCAGTGACCAGGTAATTTCAGACATTAAAATGCCTAAAGAAAAGAACTTGATACTATAAAAAGATTATACTCTTGCTCAAAGATGTATATAAATGGCAACAGTATTTGATATTAAAAGTATATTGAAGTGTGCACAAAAAGTGATATAATTTCACTTTCTTAGCTGTGTTAGAGAGGAATATCTGAAATTAGTAACTTGGGTCATCAGTTATTTGGATAATGGAGTGAAGATTATGCTTATAAAATTTATGGATGACACCAAATTAGGAGGGTTGCAAGCACTTTGAAGGGCAGGATTAGTATTCAAATGACTTTGACAAACTGAAGCATTTGGCTGAAATCAAGATGATGAAAATCAGTAAGACAAGTGCAAAGTACTACATTTTGGAAGGGAAAACCAAATGTACAAATACAAAGTACAAAATACAAATAATTACCTAGACTACAGTACCGAAGGGAAGCACCTGTTGATTAGAACGGATCACAAACTGAATATGAATCAATAATACACGGCCCTTGCAAAAAAGCTAGTATTGTTCTTGGGTGTTTTAACAAGAGTGCAATATGTAAGATGTGGGAGGTTACTGTTCCATTCTACTTGGCACAGGTGATGCCTCAGTTGGAGTACAGAATCCAGTTTTGGGCACCATGCTGTCAATACCTTTCTTGCACTGGAGAGAATCCAGACAAGAGCAATAAACATTATCAAAGGTTTAAAAATCCTGGTTTCTAAAGGCTATTATACACTGACCAATTCTTCTCCTGGCCCACTGAAGGTAGCATAAGACATAATAGGCTTAAATTGCAGCAGGGAAGATCGACGTAACAGGAAAAACAAAGGGAGGCTGTGGGATTCCTGTCTGGAGGAGGTTTTAACAACAGGTTAAACACCTGACGAAGAATGTCTAGGGCCATGGTCACCATCCAATAGCTCCATCCAATAGCTCGGGATCTACCGGTAGATTTTGAAGCCTCTAACAGGTGATCCTAACTGGTTTGGCCAGGAGGCTATCAAGTGCCAGCACTTCAACTGCTCCTCCCACCACTGCTGCGCATCTCCTGCCCTTTGCGTTAGAGCTTTCCCTGCCCCAGAGCCACCTGCTTGCCGTGCAGGAAAGGGAAGAGAAAGGAGGTGGTGCTGATGTCAGGGTGCACCCTTTCCCACCCTGTATTCTGTCTCCACAGAACGGAGAGGGGGGCACAATAGGGCTTGGGATGAGGGAGTTTGCTGGCTGCTTTTGAGAGTGGTGCAAGGTCAGCACAGGGGTGAGCCTGCCTTAGTCCCACTGACCCACCTGCGGTAAGCAGTGTGCAGCTGGAGCCAGCTCTGAACCCGTCCTAGTCATAAACCCCCTCCTTCATCCCTAGCCCTGAACTCCTGGATCCAAATTCCCTTACAGAGCCTATACCCTGAACCCCTTCCTGCACACTGACTCCATGCCCCAGGCTCAGCTCAGAGTCCCTCCACACTCCAAATCCCTTAGCCCAAGACCAGAGCCCATGCTTCAACCCTCTGCCTCTTGAAAGGGAGGGAGGATGGAGTGAGCGAGGGCGGGGCATCAAAGCAGGAACACAAAGGAGGTGGGGCAAGGGCATTTGGGTTGAAATTGATCCTGGATTGCACTTAAATTCAAAAAGTGATCTTGTGCATAAAAAGGTTGGAGACCACTGGTCTAGGGCATACTTGATTCTGCCTCAACATGGGGAGTTGGACTAGATAACCTCTCAAGATCCTTTGCAGTCCTGCATATCTATGATTATCTGAAACTGACAAAAAAAATGACTATGCCTGAAAAATGCCATTATTCAAAGGCAAACACATTTTTCTGATGGAAGTCCACTTTTACAAGTCTTGAAATATTTTTTTGTAAAGACTTTTTGATGAACCTCTCAGACACACTCAGCTTTAAACTGCTAAGAGAATAGGTGAGGCAAATTATCCTGCATAGAGGGGGCTAAAAATTATGCTAGTTGTGATAAAGCTTTTCAACTTTTCTTATGATAGCAGGGACACACAAGTGGTTGACTTAATAAGTATTTAAAAGAAACAATAACTGGTTTTGTTTTAGGAATATTAATTAACTAAAATTGTGTTATTTAATGAAATTGTAATTGAGTAATAATAAAAGAAATAGCAATGTACAAATGTTGGTAAAGACAGGCCCTACTCCAAAGAGTTCACAAGCAAAATAAGAAAAAAAAAGACAAGACCCTAAACAAGAGATAAAGTATTATTAAGTAAAGATAAAGCAAGTATTACTGATGAGAAGAGGTGTAGGTTTAACAGAGGGATTCAGATGAGGGGTTAGAGTTGTTTAAAGGATATATACTCAATACTAATTCTTTATACTTTTTTTAAATTACAGGCAAACATATTACTTTACAAAGCAAATGTCATAGGTAGACAAAATCTCATACGAGGCTTCTATTTTCATAAGTTTATTAATAAATTCAATTTCTTCTATATTGAAATTGGCATACATCAATACAGCAGAAAAAATGGATTAACTTATAATACATATTTAGCTGTGAAATATACATATTCCAGAAGTTTTACACAAAGCATTTCCAACTGCTTGAAATATTCTGATTGATTTCTGTATGGCTCATCTTCTGCTGGAATGTACAGGCATGAGAGGTTATACTCAGCACCATCCTTTGTCCTTAATATTCAATTAATGAGACTTTCAGGTGACCATTTTTGTTCATTCTCTAGACAAGTGTACTAATAAACTTGAACTGTATCAGATTCACACTACAATTTATAAAGCAATATCATATTTCACTAAATTTGCATTTGTTTTTAATTTTACTAATATACAGTGGTTGCTCCTTCAGAAACTTACTCCCTTTACATAAGTTGAAAGACTTTTTGAAAATTTGTTGATATGCTTATATAAGCTCTGTCATGCAAGAGTTGAAGTACAATAAACTTTAATATTGATACAGTATTTGATATTTTAACCTGGGTCAATGAGCATTTTTCTTGTGATGAAAGAGGAGAATTTTTATTAAGGCAAACATAAAAGACAATGCCAATGAACATTATTGTGTACTCTGTATATTTTTTAAATGGCTTTCAACTGATGACCTGGATTTAAAAAAAAAAATGGGTAAAGTTCACACAATTCACTGATGTATTAGACTAGCGGTCCCAAACATGGTGCCCGTGGACGCCATGGTGCCCGCCTGGGCATTTATGGGTGTCCGCCAAATCATCTGGGCCGGCCCCGCCCCCAGCACACGGCACATGGGCAGAGACGGCTCCCAGCGCAGGGGCAAACCCTGCCCCGGGTGCGCGGCACATGTGCAGTGCCGGCGCAGGGCGCGTGGGTGGCCCCTGCCCTGGGTGCAAGGCACATATGTGGTGCTGGCCCCGGGCGCAGGGCACTTGGGCGGCCTCTGCCCCATTCCCGGGCGTGTGGGTGGCCCCGGCCCTGGGTGCATGCATGGTCCTGGCCCCAGATGCCTGGCACGTGAGCAGCCCCGCCCCTGGATGCCCAGCAGCCCCTAAAAGTTGGGGACCACTGTATTAGATCATTTTGAAATTTCAAAGTCAACTCTCTTCGGAGTTACAGGCAGTCCCCGAGTTACGCGGATCCGACTTACGTCGGATCCGCAGTTACGAACGGGGTTTGCTGCCCGTCTCCCTGGTCTGCTGGAGACCAGCAGACCGGGGAGATGGGAAGCAAAGCCTCTGAGGACGCCGGCAGCGGGACAGCCGTGGCGCGTCTGGGCTGTCCGCTGACTGCGTGCTCCGCGGCTTTGCTCCACGTCTCCCCAGACCAGGGAGACGGGGAGCAAAGCCGGGGAGCACGCAGGCAGCGGACAGCCCAGACGCGCCGCGGCTGGCCCGCCGCCCCCC